CGTGTCTTGACATTAAGTGTCAAAGCGTCCGATACCATGAATGGCCCTCTCAAACTACACCCGTAAATCCAACAACACTCTTGTATTAGTAATACTCCCTATTGGACAGTCTTGGTTAACTGCAATGTAGCTAATCAGCAGTAGACCAGTTAGCTGACGTTAGCAGACGTGCTAACAGAAGTAACGTTAGCACTGACCGCCAGTGCTAATGTTACTGCTAGCCGGGCCGGTGTTTGATTGGGATCAACCGGCAGTGACAAAGCAGAACCGTAGCGGCTGTGCTCTTCCACGAAAGGCCTCGGCAAGATTGAAGTTGTTTAAAGAATATGACAACTTGCCAAAGGTTTTGTCCTTCTTCCTCTTCGTTGTTATTCTCGCCGGCCCCGGCTGCGCCCGGGAGCTGTTTCTCCAGAACGGGAGCCATCTTCTCTTTCTACAACCACAAAGGCAAGGCCCTGCTGCTTGGGCACAACTAGCACCGCCTTCACCAAAGTGGCCAAGGGTATGTTACATTCGTTGACCGTGGCGCCCCGCCGGGATCCAGGGTGCACCTCAGCATATTCGACTTAAACATATTATTATTGAGTCCTTTAATAATTATTACAAGGAAATAATTGGTTTTGGACAACATGTTATAGTAAAAACTACATATATTCAAAAGGGTTTATCAAAGGTCGACTATATTTGCGGTTCGAACATGGTTTCAAACAATCCAACAGTACTTCTGGCAAAATGCCAATAAATGATGTCATAGCAGGTTTCTTCCTTTACCAGCTGATGGAGAACACTGTGTGATATCAACAAATACCGTATGACCAGAAGTTCAACATGCTTGAGAGAGGATCTTTGACTAAACCAAGTGCATAAACAGGTCTCTGTCGTGTGTAATTGAGTATGGATTTGACACGAGTCTGGTCAATTTCAGCCAATTTATTCAAGTGCCGTTTTGAGCTTGATGATAGCACAAATTTGACCACCACTTTTTCTGCTCATTCTCATGCAGGGGAAAGCAAGAAAGGGGAGTTTAATGGTTGCCCTGCAGTCTAATAAACACATACTTTCAAGGTATCCATAGATACAGTTGAACACACACGTCACTGATTCAAAAACTACTTTCTATCAATGGATGTTGACCAAGAATGATTTGAAAAGTATCACAGGCATTGTACACACTTTGGTTTAGTGTCCTTGGGAAACAATGAACCTCTTTTTTTTGGCTTATGGATAGAATTATGATACACTTAACACCTATGGCCATGACATGACAATACATCTGGTAGCAAAAACACAGACACACATTTGACTTGCCATTGACTCACAGTACAACTAAATAAGCTTATCTGTCTTTAGTTGTGATAAATAGCTCTAACATTAATGAAATTCAATCAGGAACACACACAGTTTATCTGAAAACCATTGGATGTGATAAATGAAGCACATAAGAAACAGAAGATTGATATATTGGGATAAAAGTGAATATTACAGATTTTCTGGTTATGATAGGGTTCAGACATAAAAAGCTGAAATTGTAGATCAAACTTCTAGTAACCATGTATTTTTTGTTTTTGAATTATTTTTTGTCTTGTCATGTATGACTGCCACTAATGTTGTAAGAAAGAGTCTCCAGTAGATGGTGCTATTCATACCTTGCTGAAAACAGAATGGGCAGAAATCTTTCCCTATCCATTTAAACAGATCAACCTATAGGTGTTTAAGTCAGGAACACCATTTTGAAAAGGAGCATAATTTATAATATCAAAAACTCCTGTCTTTAAAGGACAGATGTGAAATTAATATATGGTGATACCAGGAGGTAATGAGGCCTTTTTCACTGCAGACAGTTTGATATGTCACAACAGGAAAACTACTGATAATACCTGCGTTCCATTTAGGTTAACTTATTGTAGGGCCCTGCTATTGTGCATAAATTCGCTTGAATGGACATTGAAAACTAACTATTATGTAGGCTATCACACATGTATGAAATATCATAAGAATGTGTTTGTACTGAAGTGAGGTGAACTTTATCTAACCATTCAGAGACAGAGTTTCAAGCTAGTTCTTTATCATGTTACCTGTGCATTTGAGTTGGTGTGCAGGTGTCACTCTTATCATACTACTATTACATTACTGACATTTTCAGTTGGTGAGAAAGTATAGTATGCATTTGAATGAATAAAGCATGTTGTTGGGCTGTCAACATACAAGTTTCAATGTCATATTTCATATCTTTTTGACACACCCTATATAGTCTATAGCTGCAGAAACAGGACTGACTTTGTTTCAGGTAGGCCATTTCACACATTGTTTGAGAGTTTTGTGGTTTTCACTGAAATATGGGTAATTGGCTCAAATTTCTGAAGTGAATGTTAAATATCAAGCTTAAACTTTTTGTATAAAATCTAATTCTTGTCAGTTCATGAACGTATCCATGAAATATATTAACCTGCCCAGGCTCTACTGTTCCTCTCACTGGGAATTCTACACAGTCCCAGGAGTTTGACAGATTCCTGCGCACACTCACTTTTGCTGTGACCTATTGGCCCGTCGCATGTTGAAGCACCAAACACCTGTTTCTGTATTTCTCCATCTCTTCAGTCTATTTGTGTCAGAGCTGCAGACAAATGAGTTTTGGACATTAAAATGATGATAACTGGGGGATTTTCCAAGGCCTCCACACATGTCAGTGAGTCCTCTGTCTTATGTGGAGCAGAGTGGTTGGCTGAGATGGTGGTTATACTCCTGGGAATGCATTCCAGAGCTTTTGCATCATGTGAAACTCAGCCTTTTCTGCCCCTTTGTCACTCTTTAGCTGTGCTGCCAGCAGGAGAAACAAACAAGATTGGTTTTAATTTTCTTGTTTACTTTAAACAGATAACATTAGATCGTAGAGCATTTATACAATTCAAGATGTAAGTCTGTCTAACAAGAACAACAAAATAACAGAATTGTTTCCTGTGTCACAGTTCTTTTTTTTCCCTCTAAACATCCTGTAAGACTCTTGTCTGGGATTTTTTTTTTCCTGTGATGATACACATTGAAAAAATCAGGAATATTTCTTTTCAGCAGAAAGCCACTGTTTTAATGGATATCTCACAAATAAACACTGTGACTATATATTTGCGTAAAACATGAAAATCTTGTTATTGTTACATCTACAGGATCTATTAAGTGTATCATTATTATCTTAATACCCAACAAGACTTCTCCAGACAATGTGTTGTGCTATCGGCTCTTGTAACAGGAGAGGGCGCTGTCTCCTAGATAATAGGCCTACTGTCTGTCAGCTGTTAATGCCATAAAACATGGGTGATAAATGAGTTTATTCAAAGATTCATATATGGGAAGAACACTAGAGGGGGAAAAGAAAAGAAAAGAAAAGAAAAGAAAAGAAAAGAAAAACCTAACCCTAAACTACAAAAGCCATTGGGATATCCAACACAGAATATATTATGCAAATCCTGTCTAAGTTTAAGATCCGTTTTGTAAAATGAAAAAATATAATGAAAGAAAGCATCATAAATATATATATATATATTTCCAAAGATATATTTATTACATGCACTGTGACAAATGTCTTGCTTCAATGCTTAGTGTATACATATGGATATTGGCCTATAACAGGACAAAAATAACCTGTTTGGCTGCTTTTCAAGCCCATTTGTGATTAAATACCGGGTTGGTGGGTTTTGAGTGATGTAATCAGACCGTCAGTCCAGTCAGTTGTGTGAGCTCTAATGTCTTCCAGTTTCAATCTGAAAAACTGTAAAGAGAAATGTATTTGTGTGAATGGTCAGGGAAACACCCACTCTCGCCTTTCTTTTCACAGATGGGTGGAAACAAGTGGCCTGCCACTGGAAAAGATATACTAGGAAAATGATACTCGCAGTTTAAATGAGATTGCAGAGTGTGAATCAATGTGTCATTACTTCATATGTCTTCTAAATGAATGTTCATATTGTTGGAGAAATGTATTCATAGTTATGCAGCACCTACACTACATTTGATAGTCATTTTGATTTTTCAGATACCTTGACCTAGCAGTGTGTCAGTGTTGCTTGGTTCAAACTGTTGGGGGAGACAACATGTTCACCTGAAAGGGTCAGTTGTTGAATTTCATTAAGTCTCACCCAGACGAACCTTGTCCCATTAACACATAGAAGACAAATAGCAAAGAGTTGCAATGCATCAGAATACTTGGCAATGGGTTTGGTCCTTCTAACCTAAAATTAGTTTAAAGACAGGACTGGGATAGCATATGAATACTTTAGACAGCCTGTTAGTGTATATGTTTGCAATGTCACATGAGTAAGATGACTTAACTCCACAGTCCAAAGACTGGCATGCCAGTTTACTTGAGAATAAATCCCACTTTCACATCATCATGTGGATTTAAATTGGCACTTCTAAACCAAATCAGATCATTTTGCTTCATAATTTACCCAGAAACACTTTAAACTTATTTCACTTATCTTAATGATGTCACAGTTTATCTGTGTAGTTACTATTTACACTTAGGGATGAGCATACATGTTATATTGCTTACAAACAGCAGAAGGAAAAACCTTCTAGGAATCATTTTAATTTGCTATGGACAGTAGTGTGTGTGTTTGTGTGTGTGTGTGTGTGTGTGTGTGTGTGTGTGTGATGCTCAAGTCGTTTTACTGACAAAACGCCTCTATGCATAATTTATATTAAAGTCATACTCTTGTAAGGGGGTGGGGGTGGGGGGGCTCTGACGTGATTTCCTATAGCAATACTTTTTCCTGGTAAAGAAGAGCTGCAGGAGAAAGGGTCATTTAATAAAGTGAAAATAATTGCCAGTCCGTTCATAATCACCCATAGCCCCCCAGATGTATTCATCCAACACAGAAATGTGCACTGGGGTGGGTGTGTACGGGAGAGGAGGGGTTAAAGATTGGGAGGGTATAGATTGCAGACGGAGCAGTAGTGAGGTAGGCTGGACTGTGATAGCGACAGATGTCTAGAAAACTGCGAGGGGCACTCCTCAGTTACAACACAGTCCCAGACTGCACCTCGGAGAGCAGGGGCGGAATCTGCAGCTGTCACTCCTAAGGTTTACCTCCATTATCACATCCAGCCGGAGCCTGGAGAAGAAGAAGCTCAACTGATCACTCTCTAGAAATACAGGTCAGTTACATCAGAGCAATTTTTTTTATTTTAATGTATTATTTTTTAAGTTGAAACACGTTCAGGATAGAAAGAAAGAAAGAAAGAAAGAAAGAAAGAAAGAAAGAAAGAAAGAAAGAAAGAAAGAAAGAAAAGTGAGTGAGTGAGTAAGAAGAAGAAAAAAGATTCCTTTGAGCTGCAGCTCACCTATTGTTCTCTATCTCTCTCCTTCCCTTTCTCCTAATATGCAAATGTATAGCTACATTTCAAGGATGACATTATACAGACAGGATTCTTTATTTTCTCCTTCTCAGCGGTTGAATTGGATGTAGCTTTGTGCTTCTTTCACCAAGCACCAGCGCTGGGTTTTAAGCAGACCAGGCGATTAAAAATCATTCCGGAATAAAGAAAGCGCGAAACAAAGTTATGAAGTTGTTGCACTATGTAGATGAATAATGTATTAACACGTTATTGCTGTGAATTTCTTTTTCTTTCACGTGGCCGGGTGACTATAGCTGCGACATTTTCAAATGCTCGTGAACAAAAAGGGCAGAGCAGCTGAGACAGGCAGCGGTGGGTGGGTTGAAATGGGGGATGGAGACCCCTCTACAGCTTTTATCAGTCAAATGTTCATGGCCGGTGTATAGTGCAGGATAATTAGTCTGTGTGGTAGCCTATAGTCTACTATAGTACATCTTGGCATCAGTGTAACTTAGCCCGATCCATTACTTTTGTCAGTGAGAAGCTGCTGGTGAGGAATCACCATCCTTTGTTACCGGCCGGCACATGCTGCCATACCTATGCGCGTCTCCTTTATCTCTCTAATACGAGCATAAAGCTTGGTGTCGACTGTATATTTGACTTTGGTATTTTGTTAAAAAATGTTTTGACAAATTGTAAGTACAAATCCACTGTGATTAGATCTCAAAATAGGAGGTTTTTTCTTCTAATTGTAAATTTTGCTTTGTCTGATTTAGAGGCCGGAGACATCAAGTGGGGTTTGGCAAAAAAATGGCCAAATAAGAAACCAACCACACAAAAAAAATTAGTTATAGTATGATTAGTTAGAAGTATCAAAAGGCAGAATTAGGGTGGTGTTACTGAAAAAGCAGACACGATTACTTTTTCCTTTTTTAACAAACGGATATTAGACTGTAAATCGGTGTAATGGTTACGCAGCCAATCTCAACCTGATGTGTGGCGCATCCTCTCTTGATTGCTCCATTGCAGCACTATGGACAGTTCCCGGATTGTTCGTACCTGCACCCACATGCTACCCCGCAGGGTAACTACCCTCCTTGTGGCATTTTGGACAAAAAAAGAATAAATAAAACAAACCATGTTGCGTAATATTTCTAGCTTCCATTGGAATAGCATCTGTCAAACCAAAATAGGCTACTCAAATGAGCAGAGCGTGGCATTTAAATAATATCAAGCTATGATCTATTATCTGTGCAGAATCAAGGCCTCTCTTTTGCATGATATTCAAACAGGCCGATATGTTCTGGGTCAGCTGAAACAATCACTGAAGGAAAGTTGAACTTCCAGTTCTCTATTCTGTCACTGAGGGGAAGTTGGATTCTGTGGCAATCTTCCTCCACAGAAACAACAGTGCTGTGACATGAACACAATTGCATGTCTGTAGTACACATTTGCTCCATTCACAGAATCTGTCAGTTTAATTATTGTGCACTGATATGCGATCTATACCGAAGATGCAGCCTTGTAACTTAGATGTTCAATGTGAATGTAACTTCAGGCTCTGGATCGTCTCTACGTGTCTTGTGGGACTCACTACACTACCTATTTTGTAGCTTGACACACTGAGACAGGAATCGTTGTGCATCTACATCATAGATGCACAACCCAGAGCTGTGGGTTCATTTGGCACCAAGCCTTACCAGACATTCCTAAAAGGTTAGAGAGTCTGATCTCAATAAGGTTCCCATGCATTTACATTTGTTTTCTAGCCAAACTGTGTTTGGCAGAGAGCAGTTTCCAAATTGAACTTCACTTCCAGAGAATAGACTTCTCTCCATTCTGCTTTCTGACAAAAAAACTCTTTTACATTTGAAGGATCTAAGTCGTATCCATGCTGCACTTGTTTTGTACTTTGTATTTCAACCAGAAGACGGGACCCTTTTAGATGAGACAGTATTGAGGGATTTTCAGTCCCCCCCCCCCTCCAAAAAAAAAAACCCCAAAGTAAACATGCGCATTTATAAATCAGGAGTATCACCTCCAAACATGGCTAAGATAGTGTTTCAGTGGTTAGCACTGCTGCTGGGTTTGAAGCCGGTCAGCTAGGGTCTTTTAGTGAGGAGTGTGCATGTTTTCCTTGTGGCATGGGTTTTGTCCCACAGACCAGACACACTGGTCAGGAATGAAAGGAATGAATGTGTTTGTCTGACTATGTCTTAAAGAGATATTGCATTTTTTCTTGATATTGCATTTTTTTCTAGAACAATGTTTAAACATTTTTAAACATTGATGATACAAGAGACAGGGCAAAATAAACAGTGTCTTATTTCTCATATTAAATGACACCTTCACCCATTTGTTTTTAGGAGACATCATGGGAGGCAAACTGAGCAGGAAGAGGAAGGGATATGATGTGAGCGACCCCAAAGAGACAAAGGGTGAGACTGCAGCTGCTGGTGCAGAGGAGTTTGCTAAAGTGGAGGATGGAGCCCCACCCACAGAGGCTCAGTTGACAGCTGAGGCTGACAATGTGGTAAAGGAAGCTGCAGGGTCAGCTGTGGCAGCAGTAACTAAAGCTGTAGAAGCTCCAGAGGAGCCCAAATCTGCACCTCCAGAAGAACCAGCTGCAGCAGCAGACGAAGCAGCTCCAGTCGCAAAAGAACCGACTGCAGCAGCAGCAGAGGAAGCAGCTCCAGTAGTAGAAGAACCAGCTGCAGCAGCAGATGAAGCAGCTCCAGTTGTAGAAGAACCAGCTGCAGCAGCAGCAGAGGAAGCAGCTCCAGTTGTAGAAGAACCAGCTGCAGCAGCAGCAGAGGAAGCAGCTCCAGTTGTAGAAGAACCAGTTGTAGTAGCAAAGGAATCTGCTCCAGCAGCAGAGGAACCAATCACAGCAGCAGAGGAAGCAGCTCCGGTAGTAGAAGAACCAGTTGTAGTGGCAGAGGAATCTGCTCCAGCAGCAGAGGAACCAGCTCAAGCAGCAGAGGAACCAGCTCAAGCAGCAGAGGAGCTGCTTGTTCCAGTAGTACAGGAGCAAGTCCCAGTAGAGCTCCCAGAGGCTAAAGCAGCAGCAGCAGAGGAACTCTCTGCTCCAGCATCAGAAGAACCTGTGCAAATTGAGGCTGAACCAGAGCCTACAGCTGCACCCGAAGAGCTACCTGTAGCGGAACCTGCTGCAGCTGGGGAATCTGTACCAGAACCAGAGGTTGTTCCAGTCATCACAAAGGAAGCACCTGAGGACCAAGAACCAGAGCCCATCCCAGAGACTGTTACTGAGCCTGAAGCAACTGTCGTGGAGACAGTGGTCCCTGCTGCTATCCCTGAACCTGAGCCAGTGGCTGAACCAGCTGTACAAGCAGTGTTGGAGAAAGCCCCAGAACCAGAGCAAACCCTCGAGCCAGAACCAGAGCCAGAGGTAGAGCAGAAACCAGAGCCAGAGTCAGTGGAAGCATCTGAGCCAGAACCTGAACCAGTGCAAACCCCAGTGCCAGTGCTAGAACAATCACCAGAGCCAGAACCAGAGAAAGTACAAGAGCCAGAGCCAAAACAAGAGGCTGATGCAGGGGAACCAGCAGCAGAGGAACAAGTAGAAGAAGTTGAGCCAGAACCAGTCATAGCCACATCTGACATTCCTGAACCTGAGACTGTGGAAGCAGAAGCACCTGAGGTCTTGGAGACTGCAACAGAGGAGGTCCCCAGTGAACATCAACGTGAACAGGACGAATCTGTTGCAACCGAAGCCTCCAGCACTGAGACGGCAGCTGAGCCAGAAGCACCAGAACCCGTCCCTGAGATTGTCATCTCAGAGTCTGTATCTGCCAGCGAAATTACTGCTGAGTCTGAAGTGGAAGCTGAGGCCACTGCGGAAGAGGTGCCTTGCCAAGGGCCCGAGGTCAAAAGCGAGATGGAGAATGGAGATTTAGAGTGCGATTCTCGCACAAAGGATGTGGCGGAAGTAGATGCACTTCCAGCTGTGAATGGAGAGTGCACAGATCCTACTGCCACACACACAGAGGAATGTGTTAACGGTAGTGAAATGCCAGAGGAGACGCCTATCAAGGAGCAGAGTGACTTTGAACTGAAAAAGGATGTGAACCTGAGTGGGGATGCCCAGGAAGTTCCCGATGCAGTCTCCGACGTGGTTGAAGGTCTCGGCACCGAGGTCACCCAGGCGGTCTGAAAAGAAGCCATCTTTCAAATCAACGTGAAGTCAGTTTAATCCTCAGATGGTGCGAGAAAGCCATCAAGGTATCACAAACACAGCTAGGCTTTCTGAAATGCTGTAACCACTGCAATGTCTCTTGTGGTAACTCAGGCAAAAGGATGTTTTCTTTTGAGTAACCAAAAATGAAATGCAACCACTTGAGGATAGAATGAAGGAGAGAAAGAGACAGAGAGAGATAGGCAGAGAGAGAGAGCAAGATAGCAAGTGAGATGGAAGTGCAAAGGGAGACTTGAGTTTAAAATCTGTTGGGTGCAGACAGACAGACAAACATGACAGCAGAGCAAAAAATACTGGACAGTAAATATGATATTAATGAATGAAATTAATAAATCTGTCTTTGTGTGTGACCCCAATGAATATTACAAAGTGGTTTATTGGAACAGCATTCATCATTAGTATATTATCTGATTTAGAATTTCATATATCCTTTCTATTACTATAAGCAGAGACGTGACTGAAATGTTTTGGCCTTTTATAATAATGGAACCTGTGAGGACTGTTAATTTTAAATGAATTGATTGTTCGGAATAGAGAATAAAAACAGATTGTTATAGCCTATACAGTTATCTTCTTTTCTTTTCATGCATTCTCTCAGCACCAAGTGTGTCACAATTATCTGAGGCACAGGTTTACTATAAGACTTATTGTACTTTGCGCTAAGTTTTGCATCAGACTTTCTGATTAATGAACCAGTCAGTGAATCTTAGCTGATTTTCAAATCATAAAGTCCACAAAATACTTATAGTTTTGCTATTATATAGTTGCAAGAGAAGCCAGAGCAATGTTAGAACTTCAAGGTCCTGTTAATTTCAAACCACATGTTGACATCCACTGTCACAGACTGCTCATATTAGCTTTAGTGGGTCAGAGTTTGGCTGATTATTCACATCTACAAAGAGCAATGTCCTTTGGGTCACTGGCCAGATTACAAATGCTTTTGGTAGGTGGAACATGGCTGGCTTCTGTATGCAGCCTGAATGTCATGACTGGGCGAAGAAAAGGAGAAATCAGTTTTCTGATGTAATCTTCCTCAGCCCCTTTCTCTCTCACATCACCATGCCTATTGCGGAGACTCCGTGCCATAGCAGCACCCCTTGCCAACATTTCACAGATCTATACCGGCAAGGGGAACTAAAAGAGAGGGGGGAGGGGCAGGAATGCTTGCAATAGGCAAAGAGAAGGAAGAGGGGGTAGGGGAAGGATGATCTGGAATGAAAGCAAATGTTATGATGTTGCACAGAGGAAAAGAAAATGTCAAAGATATACTCTCTTTTGGCAACAGGCTATTTTGAGGCTATTTCACAGATTGAAATTCGGCAAGCATTCGGGATGAGTAGAGCTGTATGGTAGTTGGCATGCATAAAAATGTTTTGACACCTGCCTGATGCCTTCTTGTAGAATGCTGCCACACCTTCTGCTCACACTAATGTCAGAGACTACAGGGTCTTTGTCGTGCAGGTGCTAAAGCACACGCGTTAACAAGAGGGAGTAAAATTATATTGTGTTCTGTGCATGTGTGAATGCACATATATGGACAGTAGGGAGATGTGTGTATGTGTGTGAGGTGGAGGGGTTAGCATTTGTAGAGTATGGTCATCCAACCTTGAAATAACGGCTGGACCATGGGTCACATCATGAGAGCAGATCTGATAGTGATAACAGAAACCTCCCACAGTAGTAGCTCCATAATGGGCCCATCCACATACCAGCTCTCTCTGGTTTCTTAAAAAAAATACTCCAGCACTGCACATTTATTAAAGGAATGTTGTGGAGAGGGTTTGGGGGCCAGCAGGATGAACTTACTGGCAAGTTTTTCTTCTTTATTGCCAAACAGTTTAGTCGAAATACTGCGGTTCGCTGCCGCAGGTTGCCTGTTCGGAAACAATTTTATAGCAAAATTAATGGGTTAGTGTGACATCAGTTTTGCAGAGATAATATCTACATTTTTTCAAGAAACTGAGACAACACATAATCCTTTATAAAGTGTTTCCTCAAACCATTTCATATCAAAAGTATATTGTCAGTTTATATGACCTTCATTATCTGACAACAACATTTGTGCTGTATTGGTTTAAACATTCAAACATATAACAGTTCAAAACTGAGGGCTGTCATCATTTTCAGGACTGTATTTCCTAAAAAAAAAAAAATGTCAGTTTGGCAGCAATATGACTGAACCCCTGTCAATTCAACTGAATAAAAGGTAAAAGGGGGGACTGGGAATAGAGGGGAGACTCCAAACCAAGCTGAATGGTAATTGCAATAGCAGTAGTAGTAGACTTCCATGATAGAATATTAAGTTTGTTGGAAAGCTCATCATTTCCACATTCCCTTGTTTAACGTCTTCTTCACTTTCTTTCCCTTTTATGTGTGTGTTAGTGTGGGAGAACAGGGTCCTTGTCTTTTTGGATCTTGATTTAAACACTGCCTTAAAGTTGCATAGTTGTGAAAGGCCAGCTGCACTGCCTGGTTACGCTAACACTATGTGCTCTATATGCAAGCTCCTGCACAAAGCTCAGACTGTGTTCCAGCTTCTTTTTTCCCTGTGTGGGGACTAGCCTGCAGGCTTGAGCTATCACCAACTGATGCCTGTGAGAAGCAAAAGGAAAAAGAAAACCGTGAACTAAATCCAAAGGCTATATTATGAGGAAATTCATGCGGCACTGACCTATTAGGTCAACTTTTCAAATTTGTTTTGGTTTTCTCTTGTGGCCAGCATATCAAAGACATAGGTTTAGAAATCCTCACTGCAGAAGCTTTTTTTTTTTTTTTAAAACAAACTCAAAAAGGTTAACGGTTGATTCTTTGTTAATATGTAAGTGTCTCCATGAATGAGAAATAGAGGGGGAGAGGGGGGAAGATCAGCATAAACAAACAATAATTTAAACCGATATCCTATGGAATATCCCCACAGTATTAAGTAACAAGTGATTCTGTATAGTGCCTCAGTATTTTTTAACATGCATGTATGAAATCATCATGCTCAAACTTATCTGACATACAGTATAACTACAGGGTTACAGACTCAGAGTTATATGTGAAAGGTTATATTAATAGTACATTAAATGTATCTTCAATGAATGAGGTACAGCTTATTACTGATTATTTAAAGCTTCTTTGGAATTTGCTGTTGCTATTTCTGAAATCCCTCATTATGTATTATACTGTAGATTGCACAATGGTGGAAGAGGTATTTACATCCTCTACTTAAATAAAAGTAGTACAACAATATAAAAGTACTCCATTACTAGAAGGCCAAGATCAAAGTCAAAATCCTACTCAAGTTAAAGTATTATGATGAGAAATATCTTAAAAGTATCAGAAAAAAAGGGACTCATTATGCAGAAAAATGCCAATGGTGAGTTATATATCAGGGCAGGCAGGAGCCAATTAACAGCATCTTACTGTTGTAGCTGCTCGAGGTGGAGCTAATTTTAACAACTTGACATATATATAGTAGTAAACTAGCTAGTTTAGTTCAGTGTTTCCCAAACTAGAGGGGTTGGACCCCTCCTCAGATTAAGTGAACTGCAACATGGACTTGAAGTGCATTTTCAGGGGCTTTATAGAAGATTGAGGCATTTTACTCTGCACTGAACTGGCTCTATCTCTTGACAAACCTGCCTAAGACAATATTTAACATATGAGTAATTACACGCCTTTCCCTATCTAGAGGTCAGTCATATTAAACAACTCCAAGTGTGCTTCTGGGAAGGAATCTTTTTATTAGGATTGGTCATTACTGAGATACTAAACAGGGAAGATGGGAGTGTGTGAGGGAAAACTGCTCAGATTGATCTCTGAAATGCTTTCTGATATAAGAGATATTCTTACTCCCTCGCTCCATCCGCTCAGCTGACTGAGTGGACAATAAGAGTCAGGTGGCCAAATTGCAGCAACAGCTGATCACTATTTATTATTCAAGCAAGAGGGTGTCAGAGCAGAAGTACAGACAGCATAACACACACAACACACAGCCAAAAACAAACAACTCACTCTTCACTTTTCATCACGTTCTCTCATCCCAGACAGAGACAGTCACACACACACACACACACACACACACACACACACACACACACACACACACACACACACACACGGATATCTAATGCTTTTATTATGATTGCTGTACAGAGACTTCCTCTCTTTCCCTTTATGTTCTCTAAAGCGGTCAGTCAGGAGATGCAGTAAGTAAGTGACATGCTGAAAGAGGAAGAGTGTCTTTTATGGATTCATCTCCTGGTTCAAACTGTACCTGCATCAGCAAACTATGATTTTTTTTAACTTTTCTCTCAGGTTAGATCTCTCTCGCTGTTGGTGTCTCACACACATTATCAGCATTACTGCCTCCTCTCCTTTCTCCTCTGGACCTGTAAATCTTTTTACCTTCTTTATCATGGTCTCTCTCTTGTTCTGACTCTGGTGTACCTTCCCACCCCCGAATCCATCCATCTGGACATGTGTGCTAATGCTGTCATTGTATCAGGGCAGGCAGAAGCCTATTAGACAGAGCTGGGTGGTAGTAAGGATCAATATTGATCCATAGGGTTAGTCTAATGGATGCTGAGAGTAGCAGTGATTCCCCTTTGTCTGCTCAAAGATCCCATCACCCTTAACTCCTCACACATGCGCACACTCTCTCTCAACCACACAAACACACGTACGCGTACACACACACACGCATGCACGCACGCACGCACATACACACAATCAAAGAAGACACTGCTTTCTGTTCTGTCTCACTTTGCTGATGCAGCTGCTGTGCTGAGTGAGCACTTTACAGCTTCCCATTTTCTCCATGTATACTGTGTGTGAATGTGTGTGTGTGTACCTATGTAAACGGTATCCACGTAAACATATAAGGGCCTGTTCATTCTCTGCTGTATCTATATGTATTACACTTTTATCAAGCATTCCATGCTATTAAGCCAAGTTTGCACAGCTTTCCTTGTTAGGACGTTGCATTGACTTCCACTCATTGTGGACAGTCTAACCCCAACCTTAAACAGGACCTCCACAATGATGTTTTGCCTCATCAGGGCCAGGCTTTGGTCCCTATGTAGACTACTAAAACATGTTTCTATGGTACCGCGCCTAGTTTGGTGTTAACTGAGACTAGCACAGAAACCTATTTAGTTTTTGCCATCACAAATTGAAGCGGGTAGCAGTGTCCTATCATCTCAGTTTTCATTTTGGCTCAACACCTGCTGAGATTTTCAGCACCCAGGCCGTTGTATCAGCAACTATTCAATGTCACAGGGTTTGCTGGTGAGCACCAAAATTAAAGTCGTGACAGCATTCACAATCACTACATCCATCATTCAGGCCTTTTTTTTTTTTTTTTTTTTTACAGCATTTTTGACTGTTGTTGTGTGTCCCACAATTTTTGTAACTTTCCAAAACTGACAGACTGTGCGGAGGTGAGAATGTAAACAGGGTTTTAAACTCTTTCTCAAGCTCTCTTTTTTCACTAGTGATGTGTAAAAAAAAGCTCAACACTAAAAATGTTTTCCGTGTGAACTGTTATTATCATATGCACATAGTTTTCACCCT